ATTAGAATAAAAAAAAATCTCCATTTTGATTCTTAGTTGAAGATACAAGATTTCTACAGACTTGCATTGATCAGGTGAACTGTTTGTTTTTCAACCTTAGATTTATTTAAAAAAAAAGTGCTGTTTACTCACTGGCTGTCCTCGAGTGTGAATATAATGGCAATATTACGCCGGTTGATGCCTGACGAGCAGGAGTTCTTGCAGACAAACTGGTAGGCGTGTCCAGCAGGAGCTGACAGGTGCAACAACACTGACAACCAGGAGTCCGGTCGATCCGGCTGTCCGCAGTAGTACAACCCATCTGTGCCCAGGTCTCGTGCGGAACGAAGCACATGCTTCACTATTGTTTCACTGCCTGCATGATTTTGTTCTATGACACTTCAGAGTTGGCCTCTTCAACACATGTTTTACAGTATTATTAACTAATTGAATTGCAGTCATTTTGTATTTAATTTGTAGTAATTGTATAAAATATTATATTGCAAATTAATGTTTAAAAAGTGGTAGGTTTTTGGTGGTTTTTCTTTATAGTATTAGGGTGACAAACAAGCACATAGTCCACCTGATGTTAAGGGGATGCTGTGGCCCATAGACATCTACATTTATCTTCAATTAAAAATCAAAATGCAGATGCGTTGCCAGCCCTGAGGACTGAGATGGAATGCCTTGTTTCCAGTAAAAAGGGTCTCCGGTTCTTTACACTCACCATACGAAACACAGCATCATTAAGCTGCTATTTTATGCTAGTTTTCTGTGAGAGTGTAGTACTACCCCGGTCGAGCCGACCCATTCGTGCTGCAACCACAACATAGCTGCAGCATGGCCCTAGCATGTAAAGAAGGTTCTTCCAAGGCAGTTTTTTTTTTCAACAAACTAGTGGTAAAGCTTAAATGACTTTCAATAAGTATTCTTGTAATTTTTATTGAATAAAAATAATTCTTTTCTTATCTACTCTAATTAAATAATATATAAGAAAAATATGATGTAATTGTAAACATCAATATTTGTATGTTATTTTTAATGGCAAAACCAGGTGAATTCTTTATCACATGTCCATCTATATTTTAACTTGATCAAAGCAAATAAAGTCATTGATGCAAGTATAGACAATTAGTATGCACATATGAACTAGTTTTCGTAATTTTATATTATAGCTGTCAAACTCACCTGAATATGATCGATGTAATGTACAAAAAAATATGGTAAAATAAAAAAAACATCAATTTCCGTGAAATAGAATGATAGATTAATAAGCATAAAGAATGCCACAATTATCATGATAACTATTATTGAAGCCCATCACTAGTCCATTGCTGAACATCGACCTCCAAGTAATGCTCAAAGCACGGTCTTGAGCCACCTGTATCTTTAATTGCCTGCATGTTTCATCAGGTCGTCACTCCATTTAATTGGGGTCACCCAACTTATTTACTCATATTTACTAATCAGTAGAAATTATTTTATACCCTGGAGTCCATCTCGATAAGTACTAACCTCTTAATTATTTTATGGTTAAAGATATTTTATTCTCAAAAGAAATATACATTTCACTTAATGAGAAGTTACAGTATTCAAGTTATAAATGGGTTATAAGCATACAAATTGCAAAAAAAAAAATATATATATATATATATATATATATATATATATATATATATATATTAACATTAAAAAGAAAGGAAAGGGTTTCGTGACATACAACTTCTTACTAGTTTAGGCATACAACTTAATACTTCCTATATTATCTTTTTGTGTATTGATTTACAAGTTACCAATCTTTTAGAATACAAGTTAATAAAGTGGGTAGTAGGTAAGGTATTTCTTATCGTTACCGATTAACACTGATTAGCGGTTGGCATATGGACAGGATCGGATTAACTGTCAAGCAGCAGTGTGTGTACCGCTGTATTCTGGTCTGAAGGTTATAGTCATATAATTTAATGCTGTGAAGATTTCTTAGTCCTCAGAGGTGACAATGCTTCTGTAGACTTCTTTGTTTGAATTTAATTGCAGGTGGTCTATGGGTCACAGAATTTAATTACGTTCAGGTGTTTGTTTGTCACCCTTATTCTAAAAAAACCTTTTCTGAATATATCATATTCAATAGCAAACAGGAGAAACGCTCTAGATAAATATTGTATTCTCGGTCCAATGGAAGAGCAGAGTCACCCAACACAAGCATTACTACATGCTTTTTGCGCGACTCTGGCCACAAAATAATGCTTGTAGACCTAAGTTAAAGAAATAAACAATTTTTTTTTTATTATATCATTGAATTAATTATGATATTGTTCTTTAAAGTTTTATACTCACCAGGGTTGTTTGGTTCATGTATATGTTGCAAACATCGTTCTACGCGCTTCTCCGCTTGTGATTGGTCAGAAAACACAACTGTGGCCCTCACATACAGGCCCGTGGGGTACAGCAAAACCTGTTTTGCTGCGTCCCAGCTGAAGTGCACAGGAAAATTCACTCCCATGTTCACGTAAATACGATTTAGGCGAGCAGAATACTGAAAACGAAGAAACAATTGCACTAATATCTGTCATTCATTCACATTATATGCTTGGTTTCACTACTTATGTGACAGAATCACAGTAGACTGACATAGCCCAATAGATCAGTAAGTTTTTTAACAACTTTTTAACCCCATTCCTCCCTCTGGTGATATGTAGTGAGGTTCTAGGCTAACCACCCTTCCTTACCTAAAATTACGTATATTTTTTTGGTAAGTATATAACAATTTTTCAGAATATTATTTGTAAATAGAGGTATAATGTAATTCAATTCTGGAATATTAAGGGCTGTGATAAAAATGTCCAGACTGACATTAAGGTTGCAGGTTGTTTTCAACTAGCATAAGAATAAAGGATAAAGGAAAGGCGTAATCATGTGAAAAACATATAATGTGCTGGTATATGAATATATTTAACCATTTCCCATGAATCATATATGAACATTTTGATTGTTTCACTATTGTGTCTATTTCGCCTACAAGGAACTCTGGACTGGTAAATAGAGGTATAATCTAATTCAATTCTGGAATATTAAGGGCCGTGATAAAAATGTCCAGACTGACATTAAGGTTGCAGGTTGTTTTCAACTGACATTTGAATAACAAAGGAAAGGCGTAATCATGTGACAAACATATAATGTGCTGGTATATGAATATATTTAACCATTTCCCATGAATCATATATGAACATTTTGATTGTTTCACTATTGTGTCTATTTCGCCTACAAGGAACTCTGGACTGGCACGTCTTTTCCACAAGCTGCTGACGATCCTTATTCAGGCTAGGGCAATTGGGTCATAAGGAAATTTGTCAAAGCCTTCTTATGTTGGGATAATTGCAAGAGACTGACGCCAAGAAATGTAGCAAGGGTCTTGCCATCATGCTCTTAAGATTTTGGAATATATAGGCCACTGGATGCAAAATCGGGTAAGGAGTAAGTGTCGGGCGGGGGAATCGTGGCCTGGCAACGGCCGCTTTTCAGTTTAGAAATGGCGCATTCAACGAAAAAATAAATACACATGATATTTCACTACACCTCCCTCTGGTGATGTATCGCGATTTTTTGATGATTCCGAACCCCTCCCCCCGTATTGAGCCTCACGTGATTAATGGACGTTTCCTAAGGTGAAGTGGAATCCAACACACCATTTCGTCTCGTGGGTGTCGAACGAAGCGATCATGGAAAATGCCAGAAAGTTCTCATAGCATTTAATAATTGTGACGTAAAATATGTAGATGTAATTAAAGTATGTTATAAAATATATTTATAACTCTTATTTCAATTCAAAGAAGTACAAAACACAAGTTAGCAAACATACAATCACTATTCTTTCAAAACAAGGCAGTATATAATTTAGTTTAGTGACAATATTATGTGGTTTTCCCTTCCATACAAGTTACTTCTACAGACACACAATACTTGTTGTAGCACTGGGTTTGATTCTGTTTTTCAAAAACAATAAATATTAACTCACCAAATATTTCTTCTTGTCCGTTTCTGTACCTTTTATTTCAACTACAAAATTTAAAGTACCAGGAAAACTTTTACTTTCTGGTGGCCCCGACGGTGACACCTAAAAATGAATTTATCATTATTGCTTGTTGAAAATATATATAAAGAAAGAAATCCGAGTGTTAATCATTTTGAAAGAACTTACAGGAATAAAAAGTTCAAATTGTGGTTGAAATTTACTAGCTGCTTCCAGTGTGTCCTCATTTTGCAGAAAATTTTCCATAACCCCCATGTCAGCCAAGGAGAGGTTAATGTCCCTGTAAAATATAGTTTAGCCATTTATTTCCTCCAAAGTTAATTTGTAAATTACAAAAAGCAAAAGAAATAATATCAATATTCAGAGCCATGGCAGTATAGAGCTTGCCTTAAACATCACAGAATGCGAGCAACCTGGGTTGGATACTCAACAGAATCAATGAAGGTGTTAATTGCAATTTAAGTGTTGATTTACCATGTGCTGAGAAAGGAAGACCAGATTATTACAAAACAAAAATATTTTGAGGACATTATCAACATATACTATAGATGCGTGGTAGACTATTTGCATAACACTTCTCTCAAAAATTGAAGATGCCTTAGCTCAGCAGTGGGGCGGATATACAGGCTGTAACTTTATCCGAAAAAAATATTTTGACCCATTCAGTAAAAACATCTGCTATCTTAAAAGCAAGCTTAAAAGTTGACTGAGTTCTTGGATATACATCACATATTATATTGACTAGTGTTTACCAGTTTCTCGACTCCACAGAGCCAATAATTCATTCTTGGGGCAATGTATAGGCTATTACAACAAAGTCCCAGAAAATATAAAAGGTATCTCTATTACCAAGTTTAAATATTTAATTCAACAAAAACTATATAAAAAGGGTTGTTATAATATAAATGTTGAAAATACATGATATATAACCCCTGGGAATGAGGTGGTCGCTTCCAAGCTGTTTCTAAAATAAAGTTTGTAAATATTTAGAGATTGTAAATTTTTTTTTAAGTCCTGCTGGGTTTTCTACCGGTTCTTCCCAGGACAAAAGTTTTTTTTTTTTGAACCAGGGATAAAGTAAAAAATGACTTTCAATAAGAATTACAACATGTAATCTATATTGAATAAAAAATTATTCTATTTTATTCTATTAGGAGTGGTCCACCGCAGCAGCCAAATGGTGGATTGGATCCCATAATTTTCCAAGTATGCACCCTTCACGAATAGACTACTGTCCCTTTTAATATTATTAATAATAAAACTAGTATAAAGAAAATGATGAATAAACTATACATACATTAAAAGATCACTATGAAATAACATAATGGGCCAAAAAAGGAAAAGCCCCAAGCCAATATTGCATCATAATAAATCATTCAATACAATTAATTTATAATTCATTTGAGTTATCAGAGTTGCACAACTTACCCATTGATGTTCTTAAAATCTTCATCACTAAGAAATATTGTATCATCAAATCCAGCTTTCTTGAACATGTTAGCTTGTGGATCTTGCATCTTAAATACAAGATAAAGGTTATGATTGACTGTATAAGTAAATCCATTATAAGTTCTAACAATAATGTGTGTATAATTGGGACTACCTTGTTGGTTTAGTGGTCCCTGGTTGGAACACCGGGTCGAGCCATAAAAAATATCAGTTATTGAGTTTTTTCCACCAAAAAAATGTCAGTAGCTGCCTTGAGTCAGGAAGTTAGCATGTCTAACCCATGTGCCTAGGAAAATATGTTGAGTAAGTAATTTCCGTCCGGTTCTGTCGGTTTAACCTCGCATCAGATATGAGGGTAAGGGAATACAGAATGCATCTGTGCTTGCGCTTTCACTTGGGCACTGTAATCCTGTCCTGCGCCAATGGCTAGTCTCCGTTGAGACTGGCCGCCGTGACCAAAATCTGGTCTGGAGAACATTATTATAATTGGGTAGTACACCAACTAGTGCAACTTCCATAGTGAAAATATATGATGTATAAAAAGGGTACTAATTTTAATGGCAGCTATCTCTAGCCTACTTACTCTCCTATAGAAGTATTTCTCTGATCTCTTTCTTTTGTAATTATGTCTATCAATAACATGAAAATGTAATATATAAAGTGTATTGTAACAGAAAGATTACATTTATATTACTTCCAATAACTTTCATTGCTTTTAATTTTGCTGTTTTAATTACAATGAGAAAGAAGTTATCTCATTGTAATTGGACCTATCTGACCTAGAATAGTCTACATATATAAATTGCACAAAAAAAACATCCAGACCCAGAAAAATTATATTAGGGCATAGAAACACTTGCTTTGTATGGGACTGTACCTGCGGTGCTACAATTCCGCAGCCAAATGCTTCGCTATTGCCCTTTACTTGTCATTCATTTTATTATAGATTATAAACAAATATGCACCTAATTAATTAGTAGTATAATTGTGAATTATTTTTTTGTTTTTATACGATATTTTGTAAGTTTATAACAATTTATTTATAAAATACATTGAATTCTTATCATGATTGGCATTTTTACTCAATCCCTTCATCTTTATGTACTCTCAAAACAAAGTGAATATTCTTACCATTTATAAATATTTCATCCATGATAAATGGTAAGAATGCTTAAAACCATAACATAATGCTTGTCTTTTTATTGACTAAATAGAACTGTTTATTCTATACAGCTAAAAATATTTAATTTGTTTATTAATATTCTCTTCGTAATATATGTAAAAATCAAGTTTCACTGCCGATTATTATTAATGGTATGAAACAATTTTATATACAGTCAAACCCGGGTAAGTGAGAACTGGATAAAAGAGAAAACTCTATAAGTGAGAGGAATAGCCAGGACCCGTCATTTTAAGTTCCCAAAACCTCTATTAGCGAGAAACAGAAATGTCTGTAAGAGAGAGTCGTTTTTCCCTCATGGACCTCCATAAGTAAGACTGCAATTTATCTATATCTTTATAAGCGACAGTCGAGCTTTATTTATTTATATTATTTAGGAGAAACTATAGTAGTCCAGGATCCATCGCCCATTTTTGCACGTGATTACTATCAAGCTAATTTTCCGTGAGTGGCTTTAAAACATTTTGATGAGACGCCCAATAATTTCCTGTACGAAACTCTCGATTGTGGTAGCTAACAGAAGTAGCAAGGATAAAATATGTTGATTTGATGATTCTCAAATATTTATTACTAACTGATTTTTTTTTTGTTAAATCTCAAGATAATTATCTAAATTATTCGAAAAAATATTTGTCCTACAAAATCTATGGTTTGATCAAAGAGTCCCTCTACTACTCTATCCAATATGTATCGATAACGAGGTCATCATAAATGATTACTAACCAGCTGTTTTTTTTGTTTTTACTTGGTTAATATTTATATAATTTAACAGAAATATTGCCCTACAAATTGCGTGGTACGTTATCCCGGTCCTACGCTCAATAGTAGTACAGATCCTAGATGTAAAAATAATTACTATCAAGCTGAATCTTTGTGAATAGCTTCGTTTCGATGAGTCGCCCAACAATTTCCTATGCGAAAATTCTCAATTGTGGTAGCTAACAGAGGTAGCAAAAAAATTTGTGTCGCTTGGGTTTCTGTATTTTGCTACTACAGCTGAGTCACACCAGTACTGCAGTACGCATACGCAGAGCATTGCTTACTCCGTATTAGGTATCCCACGTTAGTGTCGACCATAAGCCTGCAAACATTTTCTCAGTCGACCACGTGTTTTATTTTGTCTTGAGAAATTATTTCAAGAAATGTTTTTTGTGCTGGAAAATAATTATGGAGTGTTTTTGTGTAATTTGTTTTGTGAAAACCCTACTTTTCGAGAGAAAAGAGAAAAAGGTGTCTTATGAAAGGTAAGTCGATTGAATATTTATTTACTTTATTTTTAAAATTATTGAAAAATAATTTATTAAGTTCATATTTTCACGTAATTATGTAAAATCGAGCATTAGCATTGTAACATGCTATTGTAGCATTGTATTATTGTTAAATTCTTTAAACAATAATTTTTGATAGTATATTATATTTTACATATTTTCTTATTTAATTTTTTGTCATTTAAATTTATATTTTTGTATGACTATTTGACTAAATATTAATTTAATATGGAATAATTTTTTCAATATTGATGATGATATGTGATATTTATGTAGATACTGTATTTATTTGCATGTTTCTCAAATAAACAATTTTTAATTTTTTTTTAATAATTTCTTACACAGCACTGAACCAGGTTCAACATCATCAGCGTCTCAATCTACTGGAATCATTGATTCCTCGATATCTTTAACGTCTGCTGAAAATGTAGAACCAGACCGGTTAGTTAATTAAATAATTTTTTTTATTTGTTAGTTATGTAATTTATTTGTATTTTATAATTTACTTAATTTTTTCATGTTATTACAGAGTCAGATATAACGAGTGAGGAAAGTGAAATAGAAGATGACAGCGATGTTAGTAGCGAAGATTTATCAGTTGAATCTGATGAAGATTAACTTTTATATATATATATATATATATATATATATATATATATATATATATATATATATATATATATATATATATATATATATATATAAATACATATAATTTTTGTACCAAGTTTATCAAAAAATAAAGTTATTTAAATTTTAAAAAAGCTTTTTTCACTTTATCTTATTTTGCAGATAGAAAAACGAAAAAATGACAATTCTTGTCAGACTAATAATACATACCTGTTTTCTTTTAGGACGATGTTTCATTTGGGCAGAGAACACACTAACCTATCATGTAATATTTTTGTCCTACAGTTAGTAATGAAAAAAATGGTCTTATGGTATTAACAACTTCTGAGCGTAGGACCAGGATAACGTACCACGCAATTTGTAGGGCAATATTTCTGTTAAGTTATATAAATATTAACTAAGTTAAAAAAAATCAGCTGGTTAGTAATCATTTATGATGACCTCGTTATCGATACATATTGGATAGAGGAGACTCTTTGATCAAACCATAGATTTTGTAGGACAAATATTTTTTCAAATAATTTAGATAATTATCTTGAGATTTAATAAAAAAAAAATTCAGTTAGTAATAAATATTTGAGAATCATCAAATCAACATATTTTATCCTTGCTACTTCTGTTAGCTACCACAATCGAGTTTCGTACAGGAAATTATTGGGCGTCTCATCAAAATAAAGCTACTCACAGAAAATTAGCTTGATAGTAATCACGTGCAAAAATGGGCGATGGATCCTGGACTATAGCTACAATAAAAATACATACATACATAAAAGATACACACAAACAGTAACAAATGACAAAACAAATTACAAATTTAACATCTGCTATTTTATGACTTATTCTTAACTTTTGTGGAACTTCCTAACATTGTTTTCTCGTCAATATTGTACCTATTCTATTTCGTGGAACTAAATAACATTGTTATTTTATCGCATTCATTTCAAATGGACATGTGTTCCTGTGTACCGTCCTGTTTCTCGGACTTGGCTTCATGGTAACTGTAGATATGTGTCTAAGTTTGAGCCTTGTTGTATTTTTGGAAATAAGTACATAAATTGATAATCAACAATTTGGCCATATATACCATAACTGCGTTACTTGAATAGGCCTTGTGAGGCATCGGGCTTAGGCAGATTTATACCAAAATTGTAAAAATTAAAAGCAAAGGAAACAATTCAAAAAAGTATGTGAAAAATATAGTAAATAAGTTTTGAAATCAATGTATGAGTTAACAACTACAGTGTGAGTCATTATAAAGTGCACATATCAAACCCAGGGAAACTACACATAATTTCATTGACTGAAAAATTAATATAAAAAATTATAAAAATAATTTATTTATTTATGAATATTTTAAAATTTGATATTGCAGCTGCTAGCCCTATTTAAATAAATTGTTATAACTTTTAAACTGAATTTCGTATCAAAATGGAATAAATTTTTAAACGATTGTTAATAATAGGTTGTGCCAATAAAGTAAAAAATTTCCAATAAAATGAACGTCATAAAATTAGAATAAAGAGGTTTCGATGAAAATATTATTTTTTTTATCATTTTTACACTAACTTTAAAATTTCTCGTAAAATCACCCCTTAATCCTACTTTTTTTAAATCTCATGTTATTCTACATCATATTAGCTTTCTTGGTATTCTACATCATATTATCATGGTAATGCACGTTTATTACTCAGATACAACTTTATTAATTAGCATTTAAAAAAAAGCACATAATCCAGTTTAAGCACCGTAGCAGGTAGAGAGAACTACATTTTTAGGAATAAAACTAGATTTTATCTACATAAATAATTTAAAAACAATGACACCCAAAAAAAGGGTCTCTACTTGCCTGATAAAAAATGGCGGGTGCGTAGCTAAACGATGCGCAAAAGCAAGGGCTTTTTCAAACACTCATAGAAATGGTTGCATTTGAATAATAAACGTGCATTTTTTTACCATTAAAAAGCTAATACGATGTAGAATAACATAAGAC